ACCACCAGGTTTCGAACGAAACCTTTAGTTCAAAACTGAGGCACACAAAACGAATTTGGAACTCTTAGTGATGAGATGGAGGGCGAGAGGACGGTTCCCGTCTGAAGAGACTCCACATTTCCCTTTTGCAACGGTGAGTTCCACCGCATTGCATTCTAAGGAGATACAACTTTAAAATTTAAAACGAACATGCTTTCGATCAATCATAAGGGGATGGGTTTCGTCTATAAGGAAACCCCAATCGCCTGTATGCAAATGTTCGGCAAGTTTCGCTTCTCAACGTTAAAGTGTGACCTGTCGTTTTCATTTAAGCACGCCACGGTAGAATAGGGGAAGATTTTGAGATTGGCCGGGATGCGGTTCGGCTCGATAGGACCGATCTGACCCGTGCATCGGGAATGAAGGTCGATTGACAATCTAGTTTCCGGTCGGGTGAGAGATAATGAGCTTCAGAACTCGCGGTCTCACATGACGCAAAGGACACAGCAGGCTTTGGACCGGTTCGTTCGGCAATCAAGTCTCGGGTCGAGTGCAGGTCATGTCGTGTGAGCACTTCTCCGTTCGGTATTGTGCTATTCTTATTGGCAGAAAGGTGGCCTCGTTATATGAAAATGGGACGAAATTTTGCCCAATTTTTTTTTTTATTTGGCCCAAGTTTAATACCCACACAGTACAGGAAGCGCAAGTTGGATGACAGTTTTGTTAATCGATTTTTTACCACTTTTGTCCCAATTACTAGTACTATGGAACTGCTCTGGACCGCATGTACGGAAAGACGTAATAATACAGACTGTTTACAATTGGGTGCTTTCCTTTAAATGTGGTCGTCAAACGACTGAAGATGCGTCACAATCTACTAGATCAAACACCTCCACTGAAGTAAATATTGCAACTGATGGTAAGACTAGTCATGAACAATAATTTAATCGCGCAACAGGAGCTCGTTCTCGCAGTTGGAACCTCAGCTGTTTCCATTAATGTCATTTGCAAGATAATTGCGGCGGGTAAAGGTTTGTACTCGATGGATGTCACCACTGTTGACAGAAACCGAGGTATCCAGCGTGGTGGTGGATTTCATCTCTTTCCGGTATTGCTGATGACTTGTTTCTATTTCCTTGAACAGCTTGCTTAAGTTCAATGTTGGTGCAGTCGTGTCCTTTGTTCACATACTTCAATAGGTTTTTGATGCTCTTGATGGTTGCACCAATTTCAGCGTTGACATGGGCGTTCATCTTCAGCAGCAAGCATGGGTTGTATGGAACAGCTCATCGATTGTCCACTTCCTTGTTTTCGACGCTATCATGCCATTAAATGACGTCACTCTCGGGCAAGCTGCTGCCAGAGGAACGTAGTGAACTATGAGAATGTTCAACAGGCCGGCACAAACGTGACATGAACTGTTGAAAGCGTCAGCAGAGCCAGAAAGAAGACTTACCCAAAGACCTCGAGTTCTAAAGCTTAGAGGCCCATGCGGGCTGGTCCGATCGGCCCGACACGATCCGCCGG